TGAGTTTCAGCACAAAAGCGAGGGGACAGTTGGTGGCCTTCCCTCGTAAGTTAGAAAGAAGTTAGAAAGGGTTGCGTATGGATAGAATTTTTCTATGTATGAGCTGCTTTAATTCTTGAATATTTTTGTGATAGAAGGAAAAAGTTCTGGGTTACAAATAATAGTATGTCAGTTGCTACTGCGCATAACAATTTAAAGTCTTGCATCGCCTGTTAGTATTGTGTAGGCATTGGATAATTATCGTTTCATATTAGTAGTTTGTGGATGAGTTTCGCTCATGTTAATCGACGAGACTGTACATGTGTTTTGCATGAGAACCTCATTTGAGTTGTCTGATATGTCTAAATTAATGTGTATGGTTTGTTTTGATAGGAATATTGGTTGATTTCGGTAGGGGCTTTTGATGACACTACAAGATTAGGTGTATAAAACAGTATTGTTTGATAAAAACGGAAGAGTTAATGAATTTATTGGATAGTGTCAGATGCATAGTGAGTGAAAGGCGAATACATGCTAAAACATTGAATTATGAATATCTCTTATGAAGTGTACTCGCTGTTTTATTTTGGCAATGAATTAATTTTGAAATTTCGTTCTTGAGAAAAATTCCTTTAGATGAAATGAGTTTCGGGACAACGTTTGTGGAAAAAGAAACTTGCTTTGGAAGTAGCGTTTCTTTAAGAAATATTCCACTTTACTGTTATAATTGTAAGTATTGCGATTGGATTAGAGTGTTATGGTTGTTATTGTGAGTTAATCTGCTCTCCATTCACATTTACTGTTACGTATAATCAATATCACGCATGCTCTCAGGGATGAATTTGTCGGAGATATTTCTTAAGTGAATTCCTGAGACGTTAGTTCTAATAAGATAAACTAGCTAGTTTATAGATTATTAATTTCTTTCAAAATACTATTTTTATTATTGAAATGGTAATAAAAAAAAACTATTTTTTTCTAAATATCGGGACATTATTTTCGAAAGAGATCGATAAGTGATAAATTAGTTTAAGTAACCAATAATTTATTCACATATATTTTATTGAAGTGATTCTATTTGTATAGAGATTGTAGGGATGAGAAATAATTGTTGAGTCAACAGACAAAAATTAGACTGTCATGATAGAAAAAATTTTACTTGAAATCGATGATAGCTGTTTAAGATCATGTTAAACCGTTGACATACATTGGTCATTGAATAAAACATGGTGAGATTCGATTGATGATCTAGAATTCGGTAGACAATTTCTACTGGTAACGTATGGAAGCTCGCGACAGTTTTATTTGCCATTGTAGACTCTTGATGAAATGTGTGCTGTGTAACGTTGTATGTTGGTGATTATTACAGTTATATCTTCATATGCCTTCACACATTCTTTCGCATCATATATGGTTTCTCGTTATTCACATTCTTTGTTTTTTTTCTTTCTTTTTTGTGTTTTTTTTATTGATTCTAATAAAGCACAACGTGAAGAGAGGGTTCTCTTCTACTAATACGATATGTTCTTCTTTTTTCTTCCTACCTAAATGAATATATATTCTCCATGCAGAATTTATTTCACATGATGTTGCAATTACTTGTTGAAAGGAAAAAATCCGAAAAAAAATGATGCCAACTAGAAAGTAACAGAATCGACATAGCAACTGTATGCAATAATTTTGATAAGTTTGTTTTATTAATATCAAATGGTATATAATAGACATAAATATTGTGTTCTCGCTATAACCAACAACGATTTTAATGGCATTTTTTTATTTTATTTTTTTTTTCATAATATCTGACTACATAAATGCTTTGCTTCGCATCGCCTAATAAAGAAACAGTATCATAGATAGGTCATTGCGCTCAGTAACACTTCATTGATAAAATAATGCAGTATTACATGTTAAAAAGTAATATTTTTTAATTATTCTTTGTCTTCATGCTTTTATGAATGGAATATATAATAACTTATATGTTCTCCTCTATCGGACGCTATAAATAATAATTTTTGTCTATTGAAATCTACAGAAAAAAAACTCACAAGCTAAATAATAATAATAATGGATAAATTTATATTTTAAAGAAATGCCAGTAATTTAGACATGCAGTATATTCTTTTGTTTATATAATCGCATCATGGTTTATTACTGAAGCTTTGAATAACGTACTATCAGTTTCCATTATATGACTTCTTAAATATGTCTGAGTTATTGTTTATTATATTTCACTAAAAAAATACTGAGTTTTTTTATCATCAGGTTATCGTTGATTTCCATTTTCAATAATTAATCGTATACTCTATATACCAACGAATCTAAATAGACTCCGCAACTAAAATTTTCTTTTTTCCCATGGTGTATGATTGAATAAGTTTTCAATACTAAAGATTGATGAAGATGAATATGTTATAAAAATGTCTATTTATGTTTGTTGCTGTTCTTATTTTTTTTTTATTTATTTTATTATCCGATCAAATACAACTTTTAGGTGTTTTGTGCATTAATAAGAAAGAAAGGCATATATATATATGCTGTTCCTATTTTTTTTTGTGAGACAATGCTCATTCGAAAACAAAAAACGAGCTAAGATTATTTTGTTAATTTTTCTTTTCTATTAATAATGTTTGTCACCAACACCAACTGTATATTTCTTTTGTGTATTAGAAAGATGATCACTATATTCTTGAAATGGTGTTTTGGTATATACTGTTTCTTTCCATAGATCAGGTGTTAAATATGAATAAGTCATGGCCATTGCTGCATAAGTTGCTTTAGCTATTAAATAAATAGTTTAATATAATTTACAAAAATATAATATTAAAAAAAAACAAACCAAAATTGCCAAGTGTAGCGGTACATCCTTTGGCAGCTGTCCAACAATCTTGAATACCAGCCATTTGTAAAAGTTTTTTTGGAACTGGAGCACATACAAGACTTGTACCACGAGGAGCCGGGATTAAACGTACAAGTACACTACCACATTCACCTGTTACCTAAAATAAAATATGCAATATAATTTTTATATTATCAATAGTTTATATAGAATCATACTTTGCATGGTACAGTGTGTGGTGCACCAATTTTGTTACCCCAATAGCCTCGTCGAACAGGAATAACTGAAAGTTTGGCTAGAATAATGGCACCACGAATAGCTGTTGCTACTTCTTTTGAGCATTTAACACCAAGACCAATATGACCTTTGCCGTCACCAACAACAACAATGGCTTTGAAGCGAGTACGTTGACCAGCTCGTGTTTGTTTCTGTACGGGCATAATTTTAAGTACTTCATCTTTAAGATCAGGTAAAAGACGATCGATAATATCGGCTTCCTAAATAATCATTTATGAAACTTAAAATAACAAGAAGATATTAACAAACTTTGATGGGTAATGAAAATAGATAAATTTCTTCAAGTGTACGTATTTTGCCATCATTAACTAATCGACCAAGTTTGGTGACTGGTACCCATGCTTTAGTATCTTCCTTTGGACGTTGACCACGACGACCACGACCACGACCGCGACCACCTACAATTTACATACGTATTACTATAAATTTAATGTAAACTTTTAAATATACCTTCTCCACGACCTCGGCCACGACCTTCACCTTCACCTCGGAAACCACCTTCGCCACGACCTACAATAATAAAATAAAGTCTTTAAGAAAACATTTCTTTTTCTTGTAACTAACCTTCACCACGGCCTCGACCGCCTTCACCGCCACGGCCTAAAATTACAAAAACAAAAATATATTAATCTAAAATTTACTTTCAATAGAATACAATACGTACCACCTCGTGTACCAAAACCACCGCGTGTTCCACCGCGTTCTGTCATATTTGATCTTTTATCAGATATTTATCTGAAAAATAAAACAATCCATAACCATACATGACATATGAAAAAGTTATTGATCAGAAAAAAATAAATGTTTTGTATTTAAATAAATAGTTTCACATAATTCATCAAATGATTCTTTTTTATCACGAATTGAATGAATAACTTCACATATTTGTCTAAAATAAATTGTTAAATATAAAAAATATTTTACAATATAATAACTTACATAATTGTACAAGGTTCATTTCGATCTTTAACCATTTTACCTGCTATCCATTTTTCTTTCTTAACTAATTCCGATGTAAATTGTGTATTCATATGTGAATAAGATGCATGCGATTGTTTAATACCACACCATGGCGCATCTATAACAAGCATTTTTTTGTTTATTTAATAAATAATGAATATAAAACCTGTTTCAACAAGAATTTTATTTAATGGTATTTGTTTAATAACATCTAAATTATTTTGAATTTTCATTGAACATCCATTTAAACCAATAAAATAACCTAATTGAATAAATTGTAATGCTTCATCAAGTGTACCATCAAAAGAATGTATCTAATTAATAATTAAATCTTCTTCTTTTTTCAGGTTTATTTTAAACAACTTACAACTCCACCAGCTTTTATTTCATCACGATATTTATATAGAATATCATAGAGATCTTGTGATGATGCTCGATTATGAAGAAATAATGGTTTTTTTAATGATATCAAATGTTTAAGCTGAAATTCAAAATAACTAATAAAAAGTAAAATTTATCAAAAAAGTTTTCTTTTAAAATATTTACCGTTTTTGTTGATCAATACCACAGAATTGTGTTCGTTCATAATCTAAGCCAAATTCACCAATAGCCACAATTTTTTCAGCATTTTTCTCACATAGATCAATCATTTGTTTAAGAATTTCATCTTCATTTGATTCATTTAATTCATTACATCGAGTTGGATGATAACCACAAGTTGTATATAAATTTTCTAGAAAAAAATTTCAATTATTTTAAATCTAATAAAAATTAAATTTACCATATTTTGAACATAATTCTAATGCTTGAATTGTTTCTTGATGAGTACCAGCAGTAATAATAATCTAAGAAACAAAAAAGTCAAAACATGAAGAGACATGAATAAAATACTTTTTCAACACCAGATTTAAATGCTCGATTAATTACATGATCAAGATCAGCTAGAATATCTAACAGATATAGATATATTTTAATCTTAAATTAATGCTTACACTCATGTTTTTTCGAACTACCATAAATACCCTGATACATGCCATCTGTTAGATTAGCACCAATGTCTAAGATACAAAAGAACAATAAGAATTATTGTTTGAAAATTTTTAATACTATTGCTACATGATATTATTGTTTTCTTCGAACTAAATTATGTTATTTCATTTGAGATTATTTGAAATTTTTTACTAATCTTTATCATTTATCGAAAAAAAATTTTTTTTATTGACTGGTGATTTGTTTAACATTTTTGTATTTCTTTTTTACATATTTTTTTATGTCTCTATTCAACTTTATAAGAGTTCTGATTCTCTCTTTTCTATTATCAAACACAAAAGAGAAAAAAAAAGAAAAATGAGACTTTTTTTTTTCATTTCTTTTTCCTTTCTCTATCTAATGCGTAGAGATTGTGTATGCGTATGTGACGAATGGGTGACTTGGCAACAGAACAAACACATAAACGACTCCTTTTTAATAACATACACGCACATATAGAATTGAAGCGTTGTAGTGGTGGTTGTCTTAGCATATAAATTCAAACAGATAAAATAAACCGCTTTTATACAAGAAAAAAAATTCAATTCATTACACAATAGAATAAAAAATGTTGTATATGCCAACAACAACAACAACGTCGCCGGTTGTTCTTCAAGAAACTTTTCAACCTCCATTACCATCATCATCACATTATTATATGTTACAATCAGCTCCGATTGTTCCAGCCGTACCAGTATTGAATACAACTTATGTTTATCCTCGATATGGTTTCGTACCTAGACCAGTTGAAACAGCTGTTAGTAAAGATGAAATTGAAAAATTTCAATCTATGCAAATCTTTGAAGGTATTATTTTAAATTTAAATAAATTTCTTTTTTTTCTATTCATTTTTTCCTATTAATTAGCTGTTCAACCAATACAACATATTGTACATCATCATGTACAACCATGTTCAATGAAAACATGTCCTGGATATTGTGAATTATGTTGTCCATGGATAAAGAATACAACCCATCAACATTGTCATACATCTTTATCAAATAATGAAAATTCTCAACAAAAACGATATTCTCGTCGAGATGAATATGAACGTGATGAACTTAATCAAAATGATCCATACAGCCATGAAACAATTGATGAAAAAATAGAACGTATTCGACGTGAATTACGTCAAAGTTCAATGCAACATGGAACAGCATCAAGTTTTGAACGTCCTAGATCACGATCAAATTCTCGTCCACGTAGTGCATCAGGAACACGTGAACCATGGCGTTCATCAAATCAAAATGATTATCAATGGCGTGATTCTCATTTACCTGCCTATCGTGAAGCAACATTAGCTCGTGCTGAAACACCAGCCAACGAATCTCGTACATGGAAAGAAACAGCACATGAACGTAGTCATGAAAATACAAAAAATGCAACCTCATATCATAGTAAAAAAGAATATGTTTATCGACCAAAATCTGAAACCGAAGCACGTAAATGGTATACACAAACTACAGGTAAAGATCCTGATCGTGAAGTATATCAAGCATTACGTGGTGGTACAACAACATATGACTATAAAGGAGGAGCATCATCAGGCAGTTGTTATAATAAACATCAAAGTACAACTTATGCTAATCCATGTCATTCAAATGCTGGAACAACTACAAAAACACATTCATTACGAAAAATTGATTCAACACAACATCATAATTTATATGCATGTAATCAACCTTGTTTACATGTAATACCAAAACAAGGTAGTGCAGCCGATCCACCCTATGTGAAAATTCTTAATGCACCAGTAACATATCTTCATTAATTTGAAAACATAACAAAAAACAAAAGACTTATGGAATGCTTTATTCGATTTTTATTCTTATTTTTATTGGAAAAATCATATCTATAAACCTTTCCTTGTAAGAATTTTCTATTGTACTCATAAAACAAATGTATCCTACTTATTTTCAAAAGAATTCATTTCTCAAATCATTAATATAGAAGGGTAATTGATCTAATCGAGCTTATTCGAAAAAAAAATATTATCCTACCTATAAATCGAAGCTGTCGATTATTAAACTCTTTCATCGCCATTAATAATAGAAAATCTGAAATATAAAGATAAATATTGTCTTTTTTTTGTTTGTTATTGTTATCTTTCACACACACGCACACACACATGAAAAAAAAACGCTGGAGAATAGTAATAATCAAACAAAATGAATTATAAGTAATATCGTAGAAAAAAAGCACTCATGTTCGTCGTAAATACATCGAGAAAAAAACAAACTATGAACCAACAAATAAGTATTTAAATATACGTGTAACGTCCGTATAAATTGATAGCAAAGACGAAAAAAGGAAAAACCGAGAACTGTTTTCGTAGCGATATACATCATATAAATGTAGATTAAAAAATTATTGCAGCAAAAAACAAAACAACACAGAAACAAGCCACTCACATACATATGTATAAATATATTTATATATATATTAGTAATGAAGAGATCTTAAAGATCTGACACAACTACGATAACCGAAAAGTAATTGTTTTTACGGGAGTAAATTTGTGTTAGATTGGAGATTCGTTAAGAAAGGAATGTGATGGATTTGAGAAAAAGAAAACAATTGAGCAAATAAATTTAGACAATTATGATATAATTAGAAGAGATTTACGCGGTGATTGGGCAAATTCGACACTTGCTGAGCGTCGTAATGAGAGAAGTGGTGCTAATGAACGATGTTGGGATGTCGATAAATGAGGATATGTTGAAAGTTGTGATGAATTTGGAGTTCTAATTCCATCGGATATTGTTTGTTCAATATTATGATTAATAAATGATAAAGCCTAAAATAAAATATTATTTATTTTATTCAATAAAAACAAAATATATATACTTCGAGTTTATATGCTTTCTCTTTTGTAAGTAATTCATTAGGAAATGAGATTTGATGTTCTTTTGCTATTTGTCGTAAATCAAAATAATATTTGGCATAAATTGATGATGCAACATTAACATTAAATTGAAGAACTTGAACATATTCACGTTCTAATGCGTTCCTATTAATAAATATAAATATATATTAAAATCTATCGCTTTTTTTCCTCTCTACTTACATATCACTAACTGTTATATCTTTAAGAATAGAACAAAAATCAACATTCCATACTGCTTGATCATCCCATACTTTTGATGCTAACATAATTGCGCCTATACAAAAAAGTACTATTATATTTTAAAATTATTTTCAAAATAAAACAAACCAAGAACAAGACGTTTCCAATTCGATGGACATAAATCAAGTTCACCATAACTGAGAACACGTTCAAGATAGACCTTTAAAATAATAGGAATAAAAAAGTCTTTTTGAATTTAAAATGTAGATATTTACCAATGTAACAATTGCACATTCAGCTGTTAATTGTGCAGCTGTAAAAAGATTTCGCATAAAACGATAAATTAATTTTTGATCCGGTACTTGTGTATCGTAATTATCGAGCACAAGATCTTTCTATAAAACAATTTAAAATTAAAAAAAAACAATTTTCTGTTAATAAACCTACACTTAATGGATGAAGTTTTTCATCAAATATATCCATAGATTTATTTGATTTTCTATGAAGCATATGTGAATGTATAGCAATACTAACACATTTGATCATAGCTTTCCAATTTGGTTGTGAAACAGTTGAATCATCAACATATATTGTCGAACAAGAATTTGAATGTTTTAATAGATTATTTGCTGTCGATGGTCGTAATGTACCATTTTGGTTTGCTAATCGAGCAGATGAAAGTGATGACGAAGGAAGCAATGGTGGTCGATTTTGTTTTGAATTTATTGGTACATTTGGATTAAGTTTTTGATTATTTGATGTGTCGGATAAAGTTGATACCAAGTTGTCAGAGTTTGTCTAAAGAAGAAAAAAACAAGATTGATTTATTATTAATAAAAATTAATGTTTATTATACTTTTGTTTGAGATGGTATTTCTGATTGATTTGTTTCTTCTGGTGGATCTATTAAATTAAAATTTATTTAAAAAATACTAATATATATATATGATGGATTCACTAACGTAACATAGATTGAAAAAAAGTCGATATGTTTGGATTATCTGATGGAGCAGTTTCATCATCAGCACCTAAAATTTAATTTAATAAAATAAAGTCTTTTTCTTGAAAACATACTAATTGGATATATATCCGAAACATGGTATTTATTTTCGTATGCTGATGGAGATTTATCAGTAAGTTGTGACGTTACAAGATTTTCGCTATTGAAAAAGAAAATTTATATAATAGATTATGTAAATCTTTTTATTTTACTTGTATTTCGTTGCTGTTTTATCACAACAAGAACAACAATAACTGATGACAGCACCCATCGATGAGCATTTTACATGATATAACTATGCCTAATAAAGGCCATTGATTTCTTTTTATTTTTGCTATATATAAAAATAAACAAAAATAGGTTTTGATATCAATTGTATGGTAATATAGATAGATCTATGATTCATTCAATACTGTTGGATTGTTAAAAAAGAAATCCTCTCAAGTTTAAAAAGCTGAATTGTTTTAATGAAAATATTGTTTTAATAAAATATTTTTTTCGATACAATTTCTTATTATTTTTAAAATATATTCATTTTCAACATAAACGAATTACAGATGTCGCTAGTCAACAGTTGATTTCTTTTAAAAAATCGAATATTCGATTTTTGCTTAGATAAAACTTTTATTTTGATATCATTGATGATTTATTTATTCTTAGTAGAATTACTGACCTTCAAATAATTTTTTTCCTTCAAATAGAATGGTACAACTATTCTTACTTATATATATTGATCAAATATGTGCGAAAAAAAAGGCATCCGATCATGCATAATATATTTTTTTTTCTTTCCTTTTTCATGGCTCAGTGCCCTTTTTATTATTTTGATTCGTGACTACGTTTTTCTCATTTACTTTTACCTCAATATAGCTCGTAGAATTTATCGATCAATACATAAGATAAACTTTTAAATCATGCAATATTTGATGCTTATATTTGTTGTATTGTTGGCATTAAGTAAGTTCATTAAAAATGATTTATATGTAAAAAAAAATGCTTGTATTTAGTTCCATCAATAACTACTTTAAATTGTTACGTTTGCAATTCAAATAAAGATTTTGGCTGTTTAACTGATTCGAATTTAGCTCAATTTGAAAGCCAATGTTCTGATACTGAAGACCCGTATTGTCGAAAAATTGTTCAAACAGGTTTAAGAAAAGGAGAATAAAACGTTTATATATTATTTTTTATAGTTGATAGCATGACAAGTGTTGTACGAGCATGTGGTTCCAAAACTGGAGCAAAATCATGTTATAAAACAGCTGGAAACAATCATGTATTCGACACTTTTTTTCCTAATTAATATCTGAATTTATTTTTTCATAGGCAAGTGTTTGTTCATGTAATATAGATCTATGTAATACTGCAGCAAATTTGAATGGACAACAACGATTTATGATGATCATTCAATCGATTGCTGCTCTTATCATTACAATGATGCTCCTTCGTTAATAGTCAATGACAAAACACACTTCGAACTCAATTTTTATTCTCCTTCTTCTTTTTTTGAAACTGATACTAATTTTAGGAAAACGTTTTGTCCCATTAATTTTTCTTTTTATTCTATGAGTTGATATCTATGCTTGTATGTAATACTTTCTTTACGTGTTTTTATATGTTCTTACAGTATAGAAGAGTTTTATTAAGGAAAAAAAGTATTAATAGAATAGATTATTTTTTTTTGTGGTTTTTAGAAAAGAAAGAACAGTTTAGATAATATACAATAAAATGTTTAATAGTCATATTCATCAATGCTATCACTATTATTATTATTATTGAGAGAATCAAAAAGAGTTGTTGTAACAGGATATCGAAGCATAGCAATACATCCGCCAAAACCGAGTCGAAATTGTTGTCCTTCAGGTGAACGATCAGTTACAATATGTAAATGAATATTGAGTTCTTTATAATTTTCAGTTAAATAATCAATAAAAACCATTTCATCAATACATTCAATTTGTTCATTATCATTAATTTTTAATTTCTTTTGTGCTTCATCTTGATTTTCAGCAATAATAACAATTTTTTCTTTATCACGTTTTTCATATACATAACGTTTTGTTGTTAAATCTTCCCAAATAATTAAACGATCAATAAGACTACTACCTTCATTAAGAATAAGTGATGTTTCATCGACACCTACTGTATACGAAACAGTATTTGTTTCATTTGTTGTTGATGAAAAATTGATTTGATTAAAAACATCATCAAGTAATTGTCTTTCTTGTGTTAATTTCATATCAGCAAATAAATCATTACATAAACGAATTGTTTCTTGTAAACCATTATCACTACCATAACTAACATCAATAAGCCGAAGAATTTTATTTTGTATTTGTAATCCAAGTAATTCACTTTTAACAAGTTCATGTTTTAAATTAGCTGAACCACTTATGATGAATCCGTCAACATTAGATAAACCATGTTGCTGATTATTAATATAAACTGATTTAGCATTTTCAGCAACTTTAGTTAAATAATTATGAATTGCTTCACGACGTAAACGTTCAAAACGTAGTGCTGATTGTCCACCACGGCCATGTTTCTTAGGTAAACTAACTTGAAAACGTTTAAGAATTGTTGCACCTTGTTGTGAATCAATCCGTGCAAATAATGTTCCATTACCATCAATGACAATAACTCCAAATCGACGTGCATTGAAATCATTGACGTTATCTATGATTTGTTTTTGAAGAAAATCAGTTATAAAATGTGTTTCACATCGATATAAACCATGTTGTAATGGTTGTAATGGTACAATACACATAGATATTTTTGTTTCACGATGTTGTTCTTCATCGTAAACAATACCTGCATAAACAACGAGACCATTCACTGGTAATGTATTTTGTGTATATCTACGAAGTTGTCCTTGTGCAGAAGATAATGCTTGTTGAACATTATTTCGTGTTTGAGAAGATCTAATATTTGATGAAAGAGCATATTCATCAGAAAGAAGTTTCGTTGTTCGTGATAATTGTGATTGAGCAGGAATAATTATTGTAACTAATGATGTACCACGTCCACGTAAAGATGATAAATATTGAACAGTTCGACGAAGTTTCCATTGTTCGATGGCGATATCATCGTTTTGCATTGCTGTTGCCATAGAAAATAGTTTGATTGAATTGTTTTATAACGTATAAATGATATGATTGCCATTTTAATAATGTTCACCAAGCTTTTATAGTTGCAGATGAAACGTGTTAGCAGATGAATTACGCTGGATGTAATACCAAAATTTCAAAGTTTCATAAGGTGAAATAATTATGAAATTCTCATATTATATAGTATGAAATGTAATTACGAAATTAACCCACAGAACAGAACAGAACAAAGGTGTAGAAGAAAGGAAAGAAAAAAATATATGGCGATAGAAATACAAAATACCACCACACAAAACGATATGTCGTCTAGATTTTATCAAGAAATTTGTCTGTTGATAGATCGTATTCTCTAATGAAAAATTAATTTGAAAGTTAAACATATAGAGAGTTATTCAATTTGTCAATAACCATGATTTTTATAATATCCATTACTTCTTGAATGTATATTCATATGATGAATAATAGTCATGATTTTTATTCTATTTACCATAAAAATGAATCATTTTTCAAGATGTTATTCAAAAGAAAAGTTTTTATAACGAACTAGCAGTTAATAGATAAATACGATTATTAAGGTATTTGTTGTTGTAAAATTCTATTTCGATATATATTACTATTTACAAGTGACATTGCTCGATATCAACATATATATCTATAGATATCATAATTATTTTTTTTTACTTAAATCAATACTAAAGTTTCATATTACATATAAGAGATAAGTTTGAATACTTGAAACAGATTGACATGAAAAATTATGAAAGATAAACAACAGTATTATTGTATATATATCGATTGTGATTTATTTAACTTGTGTCTTATAGAAATCGAAGAATATGTATGTTTCGAGGATTATTATAGTACTTCTAGCAATTGAGACGATTCAATAAATAAATAATAGATATGTCCATTGCGATGAATATTACTATTAAATCAGGGACATATAATCTGATATTTGATGTGTATACTTTCATATCAAGGTCATCTGTCATCTAACTCTTTTTTTCTCTGAAAATCCTGCTAAATATTAGCAAATTATCTATGGTATTTATATTAAATTATGTTCATTCTTAAAGATATTATTTCATGAAAAGACAACATATATTTTCTCTAAGTATGATAATTCAATAATAGAAAATGTCTACTAAACTGTTTATATTATTATAAGCATCAATTTATATGTCTTAATTCGATTTAGTACTTATACAAAATGATATGAGTACAAATTTCAGTGGAATAAATGGTAATAAAAGACAAATTTTTTAAAGTTCTTGATCAATCTTATGTCTAAATAAAAAGCAGATTAGTACTCCTCTATTATTCCAACAGGTATGAAAGATATGAATAAACTTTAAATTTCAACAGTAACAATCATGCCATTTCTTTTCACGGTTCACAAAAACGAAAAAAAAAGAAGCTAACTGCTGTACAGAGACACATGACAACCACAACAATAGGAAAAGACAAAACAGAAACCTGAGTTAAAAACAAACAAAAACACGAGAGCACCAAAAAGAAAGAAAAAGAGAAACAAAACGGGAAGTATGCATTCTCATCATCATCGTATTAGTTAGTTAGTTTTTTTTGTTTATATATGAAAGACCATAGTGGAGTAGATTTTATTTGTTCATTCTCTCAAGATTCACTTTTAATTATTGTTGATGATGGTGATGATGTTATAGTTTTACCAACATCAGTTACATTAACTGAGTATGGATGAAAATCATAACGTCGTCGTTGACGTGCTGCAGCTCCACTATTAACCATTGTTGGACTTGTTTGTGTATGATACATATGTGTACCAGTATGAACTTTTAAATTTCCTTTTGTTGTAAATGCTCGACCACAAACCTAAAGATTATTTCGAAATTATTTCGACAAAATATATAGGAGAATTATCTTACTTCACATTTATACGGTTTTTCACCCGTATGTGTTCGATTATGTATTTGTAAAGCAGAAGCAGATGAAAAATTTTTTGAACAAACATTACAAACATGTTGTAAGATTGATGATGAACGTCTTAAATGATTTTTATCATTATTTAGTAATGATTCATCAACTAACATTTTTGATGACATTGATAAATCTTCACCATTTTCATTTATACTATTATCTTTATGTTCATCATTAACTGATGAATTGGAATTATTTAATGCTGCAGCAGCAGCTAAAAATGGAAATGTACTAGCAGCTAAATTTGGAAAAAATTGAGGATTAAATAAATTAAATGGTGATAAATGATTTGTTAAATTTCCATTTGAATATGTTGATGCGGCAGCAGCTATAGCTGCAGCTAACGAATTCGAAATAGCTGAAGATTTGGTATCATCATCTTCTTCAACTTCATCATTTTTAACTGATTGATTATCACGCTATTAAAAAAAATAAATTTAAATTTTCAAAAGAACAAAAACTCTTTACCTGAATATCTATTTGTGATTCATCATCAATACTTGATAAGGATCTTTCAGAATCAATTGTACGTAAAGCTTCTTCAACTAGTGATGCATTATTTGGATCAACTAGAAACAAGAATATGTTTTTATTTAAAAATAGAATTTTTGTATTTTACCGAGATGATCTTTTAAATGTGAACGTAATTGTTCAATATTATTCAATTGTTTTTGACATATTGAACAACGATTCGATTTTATTGAATTATTATCATCCGTAAGACGATGTACATTCATATGAGTTTTAAGATTTCCTTTCGTAGAAAATGCTCGTGAACATATTCGACAACGAAATGGACGTTCACCAGTATGTGTACGATAATGCATTTTAAGCGCACTTTGACATGAAAGTATACGTTTACAAACGACACATTCATTGGAATCACTTTTATTTGTTGTTCGTTCAAGTTGTTCAATCATATCTTTTAATTTAGCCATATTTGGATCTTCGGGTTCACCTTCATGTTCTTCCATTTGAAATTGTATTGATGAAGGTATCTGTTGTTCTTCATCGGATTTAATCGAAGTTGATGATAAATGATCGCTAGTTGATAAATCAAGTGGTGATGTCACAGATCTATCGTCTACTTCAGTTTGAATTATTAATCCATCTTCTTCTTCCTCTTCTTCATCTTCATCTAGTTCTACTTCTTCATCATCCTCATTAACATCCTCATCGTCGTCATGATTATTATTATTATTATCTTCCATTGGAGCTGTTGATGTAACTTTTTGTAATTTATCGCGATGTTGTTCAAGATGAATTTTTAAATTTGAATGCGAAGATAGATGATGAGAGCAAATAGGACAAGTATATGTTTGTTGTTGTTGTTGTGATCCAACATTTTCTAATATGATCAATAAAATATTAATGAATTCATCGGTATTCATATAATATTTACCTTCATTTTCAATATAATTTCGTTTTTGTTGATAAACTTTTAATTGTTGTTGAAATTGTTTTATCATTAATGCTTGTAAACGTTGTTGTTCTTGTATAGCTGTTAATTGTATTTGTAATTGATATAATTCTGGATCGATATTTTCTCCTGATGAATGATTCGTATTTGTATCATGTAATGTTTGAATTCGATTTTCAGTTTCATGAGACATTCTAATTCTTTTTTTTTGTTCAAAATAAATAAAAAAACAAACAATAATTAGTTACTATTATATTCTACCTATTTATGATGATTATCGATTCAATGAAAGAAAATATGATTATTTAACAAAAAACAAAAACTACGAAAGATTTCGATGAAAATGAATTAAAACTAGATATAGAGACGCGCGATTATTGTTTATTAGACGGCCGTCTGCTGCTAGAAGAAAACAGCTGATCCTTTTTTCTTCTCGATCGATATAGATATATATATATATATGTATATTACATATTATATAAAATCTATATCTCGATTTAACACGCACATGGTAAACAATCGAGGACAAATATAAAATTTATTTCAATCAGCTGAATGTGTCAATCTGATTTAAACATTTTCTAATATTCTCTCCAATCAAATACTTACATATATACATACTGATCAGAATAAATGTTTGCATCGCGCCCCTGTTATATTATCTGTATATATATATGTATATATACATATATATATACACACCCAAATCTATCTATCTTATTCCTAATGCATGAATTATATTCAATAAAAACATTGTTGGCTCTTTTTCTTTTTTTTTTTTTATATCAATGTTCTCTATCTATACACATATTATTTTGATTGCGTGTTTCGCCTTCTAGAACGAGCATATAAACGGACGGGCGCAATGAAACAATAATATCTATGAATATAAGCCAACAATCGCTTTTTTTCTTCTTCTCCCTGTCTCAAACGCCCAATCCAACAACGTAGGGAAGTTTGTTTTCGATTAAAATATCGATACACAAACGTATCTCGGTTCGTTTAATAATAATAAGAAGAATGATAGAAAGACGAAGAAGTAACAGTAAAAGGAAAGAAGAGAAAAAAATATATATAAAGAAGATTAATCAACATATAAAATAGATAATAATACTAGACTAATATCTGCTAATGTATACACGTACTCAGCCTAAGAGACTTTACTCGTATTTATAATCATTGGACATCAAAAAAAAAAAAGTGAAGAATAAAAAAAGAATGTCGTTTACAGCCATATGCCTTCTATTCCAATCGAGCGAATTTATGAAAGCAAATATGAGCATACTCTACACATACAGACATTTATGATTATGGTATTGCGATGAGATGACAACAACGTCGATAGAGAGAAAGATATATAATTCTTCATCATAATAATACGAGAAAGAAAGATATAGACATGAAGAGAAACTCATAAAAACATATAAATCAGTCAAGAGAGAAAGAGATGACAGATAATCGATTTATTCTTATTTATTAAATCATAGAAAATACATATTTTATATTTTCCATAAAAATAAAAAATTCATCGTTCATTTCCTGTAAAATTATTCATAAATTTCGATTTTATGACTAACTGTCGATGTAAAGAAAAAAATTTTTCATTTTTTTTCCAAGTAAATATATGATATCACTTAATCGGATAAGAGAATTAATAAAATTTTATTGTTATACATATTCGAACACAAAGAAGAAGTTAATATTTCTTACCTTTTCTATTTCTTATTAATTTATAAAAGAAAAACTATCGTGCACGTCTGTATTTTAAACTAAACTATGATTATTCACAATAATATTAAAATCATCAAATATATAGTTATTGTTCTTCTAGACGAAGCAAATGCACACGCGAACTATAATCCATGAATAGTGTATGCATGCACAAACGCTAATAATGTTGATACAAGGCTTTATGAATTGATATATACATACACACGTCGTAACAAAATTGTATTTATATATTTTAGTATGATATCTGTTAGAATATCTCCTTAAATGTCATCACTATCTTACCTATTTTATGTGAAAAACTTAAATCAGTTTTTTTCTTCTTCTTCTTCTTCTTCTTTTTGGTTACAAATATAAATGTTAGGTAATTATGTTGAACATACGAAAAAAAAACGAATGAAGGAGGAAGAAGAAGAGGAGGAGAAGAAGAAGAAGAAGAAGGTTCATTATAAAATACAAAAATGAGGGATAAACGAAATAAAATGCTCAGTAAAAGATTAACATGCTTGTACACATTATTTAAAAAAAAACGCGAAGAATAAAAATTTTTTTGGCTTGTTAGAAATGCACTTTCTCTCATTTTATATGTTAACAAGCCTTCGAAACGATCATCTTAATTATCATCATTTGTACAAATTTCTAATTATATTTTACTGATGACTTTGTCCATATGTTGCCGTTTCGTGTATATATATATATATATATGTATATGTAAAGGAAACAGCATGAGCTTCTGTCTTTTTTTTGCCTCAAATACATACCCTGATGCGAAAAAAATTCTCTTATAGAAATAAAAAAAAAAAGAAATAATAATCTATTCTCTATCGTATTTGCTCGATGGTCAACAAATTTTCTTTTCCTTTTCTTTTTCATCGGTCATTTGCAAATCTGTTGCTGCTTCTCACATGCATATATATATTTTTTTTAATATTTAAACAAGAAAGCAAGCAACAGATGTCGATATGTCCAAGAAGGCGACGAGAGCCAATGCCGCCTTCATTTATATATATATATATATAAATATATGGATATATGCGCATAAATCTAATTATAAATAGAGAGATGAGATTTGACAACATATATATATATACATATTCAATAATATGATCTTCAATGCATACTATTCTTTTATATAGTGTATGTCTGTTTCATCGTATATTGACATTCGCCTTTTCTATTTTTTTATTTACCGATGGCCTTTGGACGAAGTAGAGAAAGAAAAAGATTAATTAGAATAAAGATAGAGATTAATATTTGCGCGTGCTTGCTTCTACTTTGACAAATCATAATTCATGTTTAATTCAATAAAGGTCAAATTGAGACCATTTAATCATTTTTTAAGAGCGAAATAAAAAATATGTACTGAAATTCATAATATCGAAATGATGCAATGATGATGATGATGATGAGTAATTTATTTGTAATACACTTAATATTATTTATTTAGTATGATTAAAGTTGTCGGTGTGGCTTGTTTTCGTACGAAAACATCATTATATTAACATAGTTTTGTTGTTTTTAACCTTGAGTGAATAAATTTACGCAGTTTTTTCTTTCTTACATATTCATAATTTCGATGATGTATTGATTATTCATCGAATGTTACGAGTCATTACACCTATTCTTTCTTTTCCTGCATGACAATATAGGGCAAGAAAAAGAAACTTGAGAGTAGTATAAAATGCTTTACATAAAACTTTTTTTCGTTATATTTCAAATTATCTAATAATGACAGCAACACAAAAAGATATTCAACTATTAATTGAATGTTGTATTTGTTGTGATTATCTTACAGATGTTCGTGAAACTCCATGTTGTCATCAATTATTTTGTTGTTCATGTATACAATTATGGCTTCAAACATCAACAAAAAATTGTCCGAGATGTCGATCAACAATATTAACAGAAGAAACTTTAACGAAAAATATTGTTATTCAACGTTTCGTTGATAATCTACAATTTGATTGTCCATATAAATTACAAGGTTGTCCAGCAAAAGTACCACGATGTGATTTAACAGAACATAAACAAGCATGTACATATTCACCAGAAAAACTCGATAATAAACATCAAAAGAAGTTAGTAGAATTACGAGCTTTATTACGGAGATATAAAACAAAAAAGCCTCGTACGACTGATAATGAATATTATGATTTAGCAAAATCATTTTATACTGAACATGAATTTAACGATGCACGAGAATGTTTACAATTAATTAAAGATAAGAAAAATTCATCAGAAATAATTATACTTGAAGCTCAAATTGAACGAGATGATAGTCATTATGATCAAGCATTAGAATTATATACAAAAGCTTATTCTTTAGCGAAATCTATTCCTAAACGTATTGAAATACTCTTAGCAAAAGGATATTTATATATTAAAAAAGCTCAATATGGACAAGCAAAAGATACTTTTCAACAAGCACTTGAACTCTTATCAGCTGACGATCAATCTCAAACTAAAGCGGAAATTCTCAATGCATTTGGTCTTGTTGCTAAAAAATGTTCCGAAGTAAGAAAATTTCTTTTCTCAAAAAACTTTATCTTAAATTTTCTCATTGAAAGTACGATCAAGCTATTACAGCATACAATCAAGCGCTTGAAATTGTTGACATACATTCTGACTTATGGTCTGATATAATATCTAATCTTGCTGGTAAATAATATTTTTTGCTTATTTTTATTCTATATAATTATTGAATTTATTTAGATATTCATCGAAAGAAAGGTAATTATGATGAAGCAAGAGATCTTTATCTTAAATCTCTTAATCAAATGGAATCTCTTTACGGACAAAATCATCCATCTATAGCTGATATTATGAATAATCTTGGTATGTTACTTAAGAAAGAAGGTAAATACAATGAAGCATTAGATTATTTAAAACATGCAATTAAAATTGCTAAACATTATTATGGACAAGAACATCCAACTATTGGAATTTATTTAACAAATGTTGGAGATATCTATCGAAAGGTAATAAATATACATATATCTCTATATTTCCACTTTTTTCTTATTAAAATTTATTTAGCAGAGTGATTTTAAGAAAGCTGAGGCAACTTATAAAGAAGCTTTAGCTTCATTAGAAAAAGCATTTGGTCCAAATCATATTGAAGTTGCCGAAGTTCTTAATTCTATGGGTTTAGTTTTAAAAAAACGAGCTGATTATACAGGTGCTGAAAGTTATTATAAACGTGCTATAAAAATTGTACATGATACATTTGGTCATGATCAAGAACATTATAAATTAGGTATTTATTATAATAATCTAGCTGATTTAGATCGTAAACGTAATCGATTTGATTCGGCATTACAACTTTATCAACGTGCATTAAATTCTATTGAAAAAACACTTGGTCCACAACATTCAGAAGCAGCAGAAATTTTACATAATATTGGACAAGTTCAACATCAGCTTGGTTTGTTTTTTTTGTAATTCACTATTAACTTTTTATGATTTTATTCATTTTAGAAAATTATAAAGAAGCTATTGATTATATAAATCGAGCTTTAGATATTATTAAAAAAGAATTTGGTAATAAACATTATAAATATGGTATGTTTCTTAATTCTCTTGGTCTTTCATATGCAATGATGGATGATTATGAAAAAGCTTATGAATATATAAAAGAAGCATTACAAATTCTTTTAGTTGCATTAGGTACTGAACACATTGAAGTTTGTGATGTTTATTCAAATCTCGGTGATATTTGTATGAAACTTGTTGCTGAATCTCATAAGAAAAATTCCAAACAAAATAATAAACAATTAAAATTAGATGAAGCAAAAAAATATTATACACAAGCACTACGTATTGTTCAAGCAACATTTGGTGCTGAACATACAAAAACGAACCAATTTCAATCGCTATTATTTATTGTGGATAATTATAATTCGTTTTAAAAAAAAAAGACATTTCCTTCGACAGTAGTTTTCTGATTATAAATTATTACTAATACAGAATAAATCTCATTGTTTTTATGAATCATTATACAATCAATAAATGCACGTGTAGCTTTATGAAAATTACCTTCTCATCTACGTGAATGTAATGAATAATAATATAGTTAAAATTCAATTTTTGTTTATTCTTTTATTTAAATAAGTGATTCACTCATGTGAAGCAATTCAAGAGAAAAATGAGTACTTGCAAAATAGTGAGTAATAATTCATCGATGAAATATAATGCGATGTTATCTTTTGCATCGAGGTAATACGTCTAAAAGACTAGAAACGACTATATAATCATATTAAACTGTATATACAAGAATAAATATTAGATTTTGTTCTTCAAATCGATCAAAATACGATAATATTATATTTCTAATCTATCTTTCATGTTCTGCGTGATACTACCAATTATGAAGTACAACTGTTTAATTACTATTTAATAATATTTAGATACTAGACAGTATAAGATTATTGTAAGTAATTGGAATAGATTCATTATCGATTGGAATAATTCAATGAATGATCTAGATTTTAACGACAGACTTTAAATTGATTAGTGTACATATTGAAGATAGTATGTCAATGACATATTTGACACCTGCATATAAGAAGATATTATTCACGTTGTTAGAGATTGATGAATGTCAACTGTCTTTTATTAATATTAGTAGAATACAGAATTATAACCGGTCAATAAAATTCAGACCGGTCCGGCCGGTCTGAAAAAACTTCTAGACGTAGACCTTTTATCCATGAATTGATTTTTACACCTATCTTTTCTGATTATCGAGGTATTGTAAATAGCAGATAATATAAATTTTTTTAGGGGATGTTTAATGTATAGAAAAATTTAAGTTTACATCGAAAAACGAAATTTTCGTTCTTTTGTTTCAAAAATGAACAATATTATTTTATTGAAAAGTTCATAATTACACAACTTTTGCAAACCGGTCCGGTTACAGCTCTGGTAGAAAACCATGAATCAATTGATTTCTCAGTTTTAGTTTAAACATTAAGTAATTTCGAATACTTTTTCTCATCATTTACTATCAACGATGAAAATTAGTTATCGATTGATCGTAAGACAAGCAAACAGATTATTCAATCATGGAAATGACTGTTAAAATAAAATATAATCTTAACATGTTGTTAAATATTTATTTGTTCTATAAATTAAATTAGAAAAAATTAAATCAAAATCGTTGTTTAAATAAATTTGTTGCCATAGTTGATGTCGATGTTTTTTTTATTAGACCAAATTTTTCTAACCAATCCAACCGAATTTGAGGCATAGTTGATGGTCGACGTATAGGTACTATTATTGTCGTAGTTGTATTCCAAAGTGGATAATCGATTTTTTGAAGTGAATGACGAGGATTATGTGGAAAGAATACTTTAAAAAAACAAGCAACTAATGAATACAAAATAAAAATGATTATACGCCAAATGTTCATTTTGTGAGAAAAGAAATTGAATGAATAGAAAAGAATTTTGTACAATACTCACGTCAAGGTAAAGACGAATAAACACATTTTTGTTAACAATATGTCAAGGAATCACGTGTTCAAATATATATACATATATTGATTTAGAATTCTTTATATGTCTATTCGACATATCCTCTATTTATGACATAAAAATATCTTTTATCAAGTGTAAGAAGAAAAATGTTTAAGTAATCATCTTTTATTGTATACAGAGAAGTTTTACAAACATAAAGATAAAATCTATTTAAAATTTATTTTTAATAAAAAAAATAATAAAATTTATTTTTATAATAATAAATACCATTGGCAGCCGACGTTCAGCATTAGATACACATATTGCTCGTGTTTGTCCAGATGCATCTTCTCTCGGACAACTAGCAGGATGCCAATTAATACATTCACTTTTTGTACATGATGTTGTTTCGGAACAAAACCATAAATTATGAGTGCCTATTAATGTAGGATTACAATTTTGTGATGTACAACATTCACATCGACAATCAGTTTTTCCAATTGTTTGCTTTAGATTAGATAATAGAATAAGTAGAAAAAATGGAAGAATAGTCAAGACATTCATTTTTATTATAATATTCAATAGTAAAGATAAATGACGAAGATTTGAAACTTTTATTTAGCTTCTTACTGCCGATTATAATTCTATTTCAAGGTAACATTTAGTTGATGTTGTATGACAACGACAAACATGTTTTTGTACTGTAATGATGAGGACAAAAAACTAAAAGAAGTAATCGTCATGGAGGAGTCTTTAAATGTGATTAAATACGTGGGAGTATACAGTATACTCAAGTTTTGTTAAAGACAAATAATACAAGTATTTAATTAAAAAACGAATAAATACAAAAAAGATAAAAGAATAGAAAAACTACACATTTCAATTATTATCATACTAGAATGTTTTACATTTGTTTCTTAGTTTATTCGACTTATGTATTTCGATATGGAATACTTCAGTGCATTAGAACATTATATAGGATAGTATATTCAATCACAAAATTTATTTGCATTAGCAAATATTCATTATAATACTGAATGTTCTTTTTAACCTACCGACTAGTTTTTTTTTAATTTATTTGAATGTAAATAAACTATAATATATATATTGTTAGTTGTATTGAATTGAAAGATTGTATAAATTAAATATATTCTGTAACAATATTTTTTCGCAAAAAATTTATTTTTGAGAATCTGTATAATTATGATTTCTACGAGAAAATATCTAAATAAGCCATACAATGTTTTTGCTATTTGTTTGTTTTATAATTCATTTGGAATACATGAAAAAAATAAAAAATATTAATATGATTAATGGACGTCGAGGACATTTTTTAATAATAACTATAGATAATAAATCAAAAGAATGATACATATACTTTATCTAATTAAGTAACAATTCTATATATTAAGATCAACTTTGTATTATATGTAGTAAAGTGCGTAGTAAATATAAGTACTTTCATTTGAACTATAGCAATGAAAAAATTTAAATAATACTTGTATTCTTCTTTGACTTTATTGTTATTTTTAAGTCTTCTTTTTTTCTTCTCATATTCTCAATCTCAAATCAATAATCCGATTTTGATCAGTCGATCAGTATTCTTTTTGGAGAAAGGCAAATACAATCAATTCTTAAAAATAATAATTGTAAACAATTTCTTAATTAAATAAAATGACGTCTGTTATTAGAACGAGAGCAACAATAATTAGAGTTTCTGAAAAACAATTACCTGTAAGTAAAATTATAATAATATCTTTATTCATTATATATTTGTATTATATGACATAACAGACAGTAAAATCTACTTTTCATGGCAAGAAAAGAGCGGTATCGTCTGCAGTGAAAGAAACAAAACCATCTGTTTCACTTAAAAAACGTAAAAGCCAACCAATTATTCATGTACATCATGTATCAACGAAACTACAACCCTATTTTCAAGCAGCACGTACTAAATCACCAATTGAAGTAAAAGATATCCTAAAGCTTTCTTTGATTCTTATCTATTTTTCTTTATTTTATAAAAAGATTGAAGATATAAATCCTACGACTAATCATCATAATGATTTTAGACTGTCATTTCCTGATCAAAGACGTGTCGAACCATCAAATAGTATAGTAAGTATATATTTAAAACGTTCTCTAATTACTATATGGCACATTTACAATGATTTTACTTAGAAGACTAGTGAGAATGCAAATGAAAGATTACGAAAGTAAGTTTTGCATTGAAAAAGAATTTTCACTTAGAATAGAAATGAATATATATTTTAGACCGAAAACGATCTGTCGAATTACACAAAAAAGTTGCTATTTCATTATGGCATCTATAGCGGCAGTATTTATTATTGTAACATTAGCAACGGCACTTACTCTTACCGGTTTGTATTTTAATTTTGATATTCAGATAATAATAAACGTTTATATAATTATATTTTAGCTGCTAATAAACAAGAAACAACTAAAACTACAGGTAACTATAAGGTTATGTTTATATTTTTACCAGAGTAGAACAATTAATACTTACTGAGACAAATCCCCAGATGATTTTATAACTTTCAAAGTTTTGTTATCATCAGCTGATACAAAAATAGATCAAAGATATATTCTCGTCATGCGGATTTAATTCTCTAAAAATTTCATAGATGAAATACAAATGGACTCCAAAGGGACGTATAACTTTTGATATGATACTTTTATTGAATCAAATACGACTATAAAGAAAATCATTATAAGCACAGTTATAAGAGGATGAAAATGTATTTGAAATTTTATTTATATTCAAAGTAACAACTACATCAACGACGTCAACAACAACAACAACAGCAACAACGACAACAACAACAGCAACAACTACAACAACAACTTCAACAACAAGCACAACAACAACTTCCACAACAAGCACAACAACAACAAAAACAACAACGACAACAACAACAAAGACAACAACGACAACGACAACAAAAACAACAACAACATCAACAACATCAACATCAACATCAACATCAACATCAACATCA